ATTGACTGTAAAGCCCAAGAGTGTCAAAGTGGCTAAAGAATTGTGGAAAAAACCTAAATGTTTTAGTGTATATTGTGTCAAATGTATAATTTTTTATAATAAGGACTAATAGTGTTAAACTGGCTAAAAAATTGTGGTAAAAATCTAAAGTTTTTTTGTGTTTTTTCACCAAAATGTAAAAGTTTTGTTTCCAAGGGCCAAAAGTGTCAAAGTTACCAAAATTTCACTGTTACCTATAAAAGGTTATAATATTTGAATAAAGTGTTTTGACACAAATATCCTTAGTATTCACATATTTGAAATGATTTCAAGGGGACTTTGGTCTTTTTGCACTCTGAAGCGTTGAGGCGTCATCATACCTCTGACATCACACCGTCGTTATCAGTTCTTCAACCATTCAAAACGTCTCAACTATTCCGGACGATAAATCTCCATAGAAACACTAAAACCCCCAAATCGTCGAAGGGTAATCGTTCTTAAAATCGATTTTCTCCGATAATAGAAACTCCTGTACACCTCGCGACCAGATCATCATAAAGTAAGTATTTTTTTTCATACCCTGTTACAATGTTTTTCATAGTTACGCTTATTTTTTAAAAAGAAATTGAAATCAACTACTCCAATGTCTATTTTGTTAGTAGAATGTTGATTACTAGAAGTCGCCGTTCGTTAGATGATCTCCCAATAGAGATTTTGAGTATGATATTTGTAGTATTAGGGTCAGAATCTGCGAAAGACATCGTCTCTGCAAGACTTTGGTGATTCTCAATAAACATCAACTAATGAATGTATATTTGATCTAATACAATTTTCTTTTTTTGTTATTTACTATGTATTTAAATTTTTGAAGTTCAAAGAAGATGTATGAAGCGGGGGGTGATCCTCAAGTGTTCAGAACAGCATGCATTGACATGATTGAAGGAATGGGTCCCAAAAATCTGAATGTTGATTCATTTATACGCACATGTGCATTGCATAATAACATTGAAGCCATGTTCAGACAAGGAATTGTATGCGTAATTTCATTAATTATATGTAATATATACCTTTTATTAATATTTTGTGTCATTGATGTTATATATTGATATTGTTATTCTGTCAACAGGAAGAGTGCTTCTATTATGGCCATTTTGATTTAGGATTGTCTTTGTTGAGACAAGCAGCAAATGAAGATCATCTTGAGGCAATTTATTTGCTTGTAATGATCTACACTTCAAGAGGGCGTCATCAATGTGATGAAGGTATGTATATATGGTATATATGTAAATTAAATTATATATATAGTTAATTAAAGGCATGTTTGTAGTTTGGGGTTAGTATTTAGTTGTGTTGTGTTGTATAATATTTACTGTTGTATTGAAAAGGATACATTGGATTAATTGATGGATATTTTAATGTGTAGGTTTACAATTACTTGATACCTATTTTGGCTGGGCAGTTCCGGATGATGGGGAGTACACGGGTGTTGTTGATAGTGCCAAAGAGTTGTTGCGGGCTGTTGATGTTGTTCATAGACTTACAACGAATAACATCACATTCCAATGTGAAGACCCACGACATTCTGTTAAAGGTGCATTTGCAATATGCCATGAAGAGGATGAGGATCGACAAAGATATTGCACGGTTTGTCGTTGGTATGTAGAGTATGGCAGGTTTTGTATATTTCTTAAAAATATTAAAGGTTGATAATAGATTGGACATTGAATATTATTGTTCTTATTGTATTGTATATGAAGTTGTATAGTACTACTATAATTTTATTTTGGTTTTGTGTTTACATCATTCTGTTAAAAGGGCATTTTAGTCATTTTTTCTTGCTATGTTGTTTGAGTAGGATGAAGTATACGTAAAACCCATGTTATTTTTGTGATGAAGTATACTTAATGAAATTAAAAATAAGTTTGTAATGAATTCGTTATTAAGGAAAATAATCTACATAGATTATATACTTTAACATGCCCGGTTAATGTAACTAAAAATAAGTTTGTAATGAATTCGTTGTTAATTATTCATTATATACTATGATTTCAAGAAATTATACACAACTTGATTAGCACAACTGGCTTAACCGCACCCTTTTCTAGCATAAGCTTAAGTTCGATTCCGGTTGCCAGCAATATCTACTTCATAATTCATTTTTACATTTTTAGCCATTAGTTTATGCCACATATTACCAATTCAAAAACATTTCATTCAAACCAATAAATGCCGTCACAAATTAGCTACGCGTTTTGTTCCATAGCAAAACAAGCAAACGAAATCATACTCCATAGCAGAATTCCCTAGCAAATACCTACGAATGGTACTTCCATAGCAATTCAACTATGGAATTGGTTTCCGTCACAAACTTCGTTGCATAGTAACCACAATGATGAATTCCATAGCAGCAGTACAACGGAAAATGATTTGGTAACAAATGTCGTTGGAAAATTGCTACAAATTTTTGTTCCATAGAACTATCGGTAGCATAATATCAACGGATATGGAGTCGGTAGCATTTTCCCTAGCAACTCCCACTCTCGCTACCAGAAATAAAATTCGTAGACAATGTGGTAGCAACATTGCTATGGAACGACATTTCATAGCACGATCCATTGCAAATTAACAACGAAAATACGTTCAATAGCGATCGTCCCTAGCAAAATCGCGTTTTTCTTATAGTGTGTGTGGTGTTGCCCTCCCTTCTTGAAGTTGAGGGTTCAAGTCCCGTCGTGGACATAGGTGGCTTTAAGGTGTAGTTTAGGAGTAGGTTAGATTCGCCGTTTAAAAAAAAAACAATAAAACAATAAAAATGGAGAAAAATGAATAGGCTCCTTGGAATAGTGGTAGTGGGATCGAATTGATAGTTGTGGGATTTCATCATCTTAAACTTGTAAATTGAAAATTGCAGATCCGTTGCTTTTTAATATGCCGACATATGAATCAAGATTGCCATCGTTCAACGGGGTAGTTTGTATGAATTGCAGAAAGTTTCAATTAGCAGATTCCATTACGTGGGAAAGTGTCAACCTCGTAGAAAATTTCAAAATATTTTCTCGAATAAGTAGTCCCCCACAGCATGGGAATGTTGACCACGTCGCGGAGACTGAGATACTTACGATATATCATTCCATAATTGTCATGGTTAATAACGAAGGTTTAGGCGATAATAAGTTGGTTATCTGGTCTATAGAGTTCAAGAAGGTGAATGAATGTATACCTGATCCAACACAATGACTTGACTTTCTTTGTGCAGTGATTACAGATATGGATGATGTTTTGCTCAATTAGAACTATCTGATTATAGTTTTTGTGTAGGGAATTTTTTTTAAACCGTTACGAATTAAGGCTTTTCTTCATTGATGAGGTGTTAGAAATGTGTCGGAATTTCCGATGGTTTCAATTTGCATAAATTTCGCCCCTTTCTAATAGTGGAATCAATATGTCATTCGATGAACTCATTTGACTAAAAAAATTATTTGAAGCCTTGATTATTACTTTAAGATCAATTTCATATTCTAATTACGAAAATTGCTGAGAGAAAAGGCAAAACAATGGTAGTAACTTTTTTACTAAGGTCCACTGTTTCGAGTGGATTTCATTCCAAAATATGTGATATTGTGTGGAAATTCTTCAATTTATGGTTATTTTATTAAAACATCTTTATTTATGTAGCTATAATTTTTATGATTTTCTATTAGAAAACTAGATAGGTTAAAGTGATAAAGGATAACTAAATAACGGCGCATCATGCCTGTGTGCAAGAAATTGTCTTCGGTAAATTTGTTGTTTTAAGCATATTCGTAATATTATAATATTTGCTAAGTAATTTTTTAATTGTATATGAAGGTTGCAAAAACGAAAACTTGAATATGACATTTTATTTTCTACAACTTTTTTAATTCTTTAGGTAAATTAGATAGACCTAAAACCAAAACTAGATATAAAATAAAAACTTTGACTTTTTTTTTTTTTTTTTTTTGTAACATAGAAGCTACCTAATTATTTAGGTAAATTTTGTAATGTAGAATCCGCCTAATTCTTTATGTAAATTAGGTAGACCAACGTATTCCTTCCACTTCACCTTTTAAACTTATTATGAATTTCTTTCGTCCGCATTCCTAACTCCAACTCCTAGTTTTTCACGTTTTCTTTTGTCTCTACAACTATTACAGAACAAGGATAGTAGCATTATTAGTGACAAATATCACCGCAAAAGACACAAAATATTGTTGCTAATATCTTTAGCGGCGACAAGATCGTCACTAAGGCGTCGCCCACAACAAAAAATGTAGCCTTTAGCGGCGACAATTGTCGTCCCAATTGATGCCCCATGTCGTTGCTAATACCTTTAGCGACGACATGTCGTCTCTAAATCGTCGTCGCAATTACCTCGTAGCTAATGCTCATTTGTCGTTGCTAATAATTCTCGTCTCTAATACTCCTGTGTTGTCGTTATTGACGTCGTCCCTAAAGGTGTCGCTGCTAATGTCTTTTTTTTTTTTTTAGAAAAAACATATTTTTTATGATATTAGTTTATGTATATATATATATATATATATATATATATATATATATATATATATATAAAATAAAATGCAGAGTTAATAAAAATACATAAATAAATAGATACGACGCAATGCCAGATCAAATCGTACTTTCCTTTAATCTTCGTATTTTTTATGATTTATTCAAATTTCCCATAGCAACTCACAACTTTTTTGTTTTGAAAGGTCTAAGATTGTTTAAATCATTTTATCTTTGTGTAGGCCTGAGATAAAGGTTCTACTAAAAGTAGTATGATAAAAACTATAGTAAAAATTTTATAGTTTTTACTAAAAGCCTACCTAATATTTAAGGAATATGCTCATGTGTATCGAAGGCCGTATTTTTCAGTGTCGGTATCTAAAACCTTCCCCGGACAAAGTCCTTTATCGGTAATAGTATAGCCATCTGTTAGTATTGGTCTCACAGTATAAATCTTTGTTAAAATTTCCATGTCATGTAAAGCTTGAAGATACAATCACTGGTACATGTAGAAAAACACGAGCGACATCCATTATATAAGTGCATGCCTCATGCATCAGTTGTTCAAGTACTACCATTAGAGAGGACAACTAGCTATATAGCTAGTGCTCGCAAAAAAAAGATGCCTATAATAGGAAAGATATCACGTGAAGTTGAAATCAAATGTCATCGTCACCTAGTCTTTGAACTCTACAAGCACAGGCCACACGACTCGTCACTCGTCCACCCTGAGAAGGTTGAAGCTTGCCATTTAATTTCTGGTCAATGGGGAGTTCCTGGAGCTGTCATTCAGTGGCACTACTACCATGGTAAACTACTAACGTATGAACTTGTTCTATGTTGGATATATACCAACAACACACATACACACACATCTATGCATGTATATATATGTACAAACTACTTCTGGTTTTTTCGTAGATGGAAAAAAGGAAACTGCGAAAGAAATCATTGAAGAAGTTGATGATGAATTACACAAAATTGTGTTCAAAGTGATTGAAGGAGATATCTTGGAGGTGTATAATTCCTTTAACTTCATCCTTACGACTAAAGATGTGGGCGATAAGAAGTTTGTTATCTGGACTATAGAGTTCGAGAAGGCGAATGCAAGCATACCAGATCCAACATCGTATCTGGACTTGGTTTGTGGAATAGCTGGAAAAATGGATTCTCATTTTCTCAAGTAACCATGATGTCGCCGACATATTAACTAAATAAATGTCGCTGACATTATCAGCTCCAACAGCGACTTGCTTGGTGTTATGGTGTTAAAGGGAAGTGATTGTCCAATAAATAAATGTCAGCTGGTGTATTTATAAATATTGATGCTTTTGAAGATATGTGTTTGTATTGTAAACTAGCATGGTCTTATGGTGTATTTCAGTTACTTGTGTGGGAATTGTTTCATCTTTTGCTTGATTTTTGAAACTAAATTAACTCACTTTTGATAGTCACGTTTGGTGTTTATGCTTTTCTACAAGTTTAAGACTTCGGAGCGGTTTAAGTAATTAATGTGTAAAACTATGGAATGGTTTAAGACTTTATTTTGCTTTTTAAGGTTTTGATCAGCATGACCTTTAAAGCGTTAAATCATTTTGTTTTGGTGTTCTAGTGGTGCTCTTAAATAAATACAGAAGAGAAATCACGGATTCCCATGTAACTAACATCACTCCATGTGGACAAGATTTAAGACTCTCCAGGAATCAAACTCACCGAAACCGATTTAATTAATATGTAGTGTCGTCTTACCATAGAAACTTCATAACACTATGACGTCTTAACTGGTTCAGAACCAAATGAGAGGGCTAGCAATCAAGCAAACAGTGAAAGACAGTATTGTCAATCATTTGAACCAATCAGACGAGTGGAAGATGAACCTTTCTGGATTGGATCATTTACCATAAAATCAACGAATCTCTTCAAATAACTTTTCACCAAAAGTCCAAAACCATAAACTTTACAATTCGAAAATTTTCCTGTGGAGAACAAAAACACGGATTTGATCCCGAGGATATGGAAACGAAAGAAGTTGATGATGAATTACACAAAATTGTGTTCAAAGTGATTGAAAGGAGGAGTGTTGGAGGTGTAAAATCCCTTAATCCTCACGGTTAATATTGAAGATATGGGCCATAAGAAGTTGGTTATCTGGACTATGGAGTTCGAGAAGGTGAATGCAAATATACCTCATCCAACACCATATTTAGACTTGCTTTGTGATGTGGTTGAGATATGGATGCTTATTTTCTCAAGCGGCCATGATGGTAACAATAAAAGAACGTGATTGTCCAATAAAAAAAATATAGTGGATATATTTGTGATGAATATTGAATGCTTGCTTGTCAAGATATGTATTTTTATTTTAAACTAGCATAATTTGTGATTCGAGAACTTTTTTTAATTGTAGGTTATAATTGTTGTAATTACTATATTTCAAGTGGAGAAACCAAGTAATGAAATGAAATAATGGAATCCATGCCTAAGGGATGAAATCTAAAAAGCATTCGCTTCTAAAGTTTTAGTTGCCTTTTGTTCGCAGTATTTTGTGGGATTTTATAGGAATCAGAATTGAATTCCAACCAATTCCCAAGTTTAGATGCATAAATACATTTAAAAGGGTAATCCAATTAAAGATATGAAACAAAATACTTTACTCTATGGTTTCAAGATTCATGAAACCAAAGAAATTCTATTTCTAACTTTCTGGTAACAGATATTGTAAAGTTTTTAGAAAATCTACAATCAAATTTGTGCACTTTATTCTAACTTTCTATAAAATATATTGTAATGTTTTTTAAAAAATCTACAATAGCTAAAGGTTGATATCGGTCTCAACATAGCTTTGGGAACAAGAAGTCTATCTAGGATAGATTTGTAATTTGCTACAAATGTATAAAAAATAATAAATAAAATAAATAAATAAAATAAAAAAAAGTTGTTAGAATTGAATTTCACTAAAAGGATTGGATTCTGTTCTTGGGTTTGCTTTAGGCGTACTAGTTATTTAACCAAGGGAAAGATACCACAGTGTAAAGACGAGATTCTAATGCTTCAGGTTCATTCATTAGATAGCGATATGAAGAACAATTTCCATTTATTCGATAGTGATATGGAGAACAATGTTCATGGAACTCTAACTAAGAGAAGATTGTAGATAATGTATATTTAGACAAAAAAAAATATGGAGGACCTCTTGACGGTTTATGGTGTATAGGCTCTAAGAGATTATCTATAGCCGATAAATTAGTTGGATATTAATATATTTTAAAAATAAATGATATTAATATATTTTAAAGATAAATGATATTTATTAATGTAGTAAAATGAAACTAAGTACTGTAAGGATTTACATAATGGAAAATATTCATTATTCGTTGAAAGGAAACTAATGGTCGTCCATAAAATATCCACTGCCCTAACACCCCCTTTCTACCCCAAAAAAAAAAATCAACACATTTAACATTGCATGAGTTAACCTTTAAGAAACTATTCCCCGTTTGTCGAAAAGAAACTAATTGTTGATCAATCAGGTATTAATACATATTTCGTATTCAATACTAACTCTTCAATTGTAATTCTTGTTGATTTTATATTCTCTATTTATTGTGAGGGTTACAACTATTCATTGTTGCATAACCGATAAATAGCAATACGAGTGTTCCTAGAAATGTAATATGTTTCCGAATAAACTAATTGCTGAAATAAAATATTCGCCATCGACGTGGGTAGCTTATTATATATATATATATATATATATATATATATATATATATATATATATATATATATATATATATATATATATTGAAATTTTCAATTTATTTTGCAATTTAATATTTTTTATCATTAAAATAAATGGATAGGATTACATCCAATGTTTTACAAAATCATATGGTCTCATTTGAGCTTGACCCTATATAATTTTTGGATTTTAAACTTTTAGTACGAAACAATCCTTCTAATAATTTATATAAATATTGGATTGTATTGAATGAGCGAGAGAAGAAGTACTAATAAGGGTGATCGTTAGATGGCTATATACATATATCCTACTTCCAACATTGCTTGAAAACCAAAGCGAGAGGCTTTAGGTCCCCTTGGTTACCTTTTGAAGTTTTGACTTTTAAGTGGTCTAATAGTAGATTTTTTTCAAGCTTCTAAAAAGCTCCGCAATGACACGTCATGACTCCAAAACTTGTACAAGTCGTCAAGTTTTACCAAAACGCCTCCTAATCTCATATATATGTATAAAAATGAATAGTAGTTAAAAATACATATAAAAATATTAATTATATAAAAAAAATTGTCTACTTATGGTACGCCTTACAAACGACATGTCTTGCCAATGCTCAAAAAAACTTGAGGTTTGACATTGACACCAAATCACACCTTACATTATTTAGAACATTGATTTTTGTAATCTTTTTTTCTTTAAGATCTGGCTTTTTTTCTGTTCATCACAACCTGTTGTGGTTTGGTTTTTAGTTGAACTAGCAGTTTTCACCGGTTCATTTTCAAGGGTATTTTAGGCTTTAAAAATCGGTGACTAGTTGAACCGACCGGTCCGATTCAGTTTTCAAAATAGCGATTAATTTGATAAATTCGGTAAAAATTTGAACGGAAGGGGAGTTGAATGCCAATTAAAAGCGAAGGAGGCCCACATGAAGATATTTGCTAAATGTTATTTTGCTTTTATCAATATAAAGTATAACTAGATAATTCACTAAAAATAAGGACTTACTTTTTGAGTTTTGTACCAGCGTGTGGTATTTTTAAAAACTATTTACTTAATGATAGTAGTTTTAAACTTAATTACTTAAAGGTAGTAAAAAAAAATTTTTTGGTGAGTTTATTATTTCCTTTTAAAATTACAACTAATCATAAAGTTTTACCACTGTTACAAAGGTTGTTTCCGGCTATACCATGATAGTTTTTGTTACCAACCATGCTATTCCGGCAACTATCCTTTTTCCGATGGAAAACTCAAATAAAAATATAAGTTCAGGATAGCCAAATTAAATTTGAAACACTAACACTAAACTAAAATCAAAACCAAAGCAAATCTCTCTTGAAAATTTGAATCCAAAACCTAATTACGAACTACAAATGATTGATCGTTGTTGATATAAGGCTTGAACTATTCAAAATCAAAGGAATTTGAGAGAGTTTAGCATGGATCAGAAGATGAGAAGAACATGAACACATATATTTGCAAAAATGAATTTGAGATTTATGTTTTTGCAAAGCATATCATGGGCAAACCAATTCCACTTGAGATAATGTTTAGCATAAATTAATAGGTTCAACCGCTTTTATCAAATGACATTTTATTTTCTACAACTTTTTAAATTCTTTAGGTAAATTAGATAGACCTAAAACCAAAACCAGATATAAAAGAAAAACCTTGAGTTAAGTTGTAACGTCTGGTTTCTGGTATGAATTTATTTCAAATTATTTGCATTTTCTTGGAGGACTCGTCGAGTTGGAAGCTTCAACTCGACGTGTCGAAGTTGTTTTGGCCGCGAAGTTTAATGAGTCAAACTCGACGAGTTGAGGTGCCTCAGCTCGACGAGTTGGCGGCTGGGAAGGAAACCCTAATTTTAGGGTTTTGCACCCTATTTAAACACCTTAGGTCCCAAGTGTTGGCCTCATTCCCAACCTCCATAGCCCTTAACCCGAATCTCGAAACCCTAGAGCCTCATTGAGTGTTGTGAGCTCATTGTGGGTGTGTTTTGGTGTGTTTGAAGCTCATTGAAGGAAGAGAAGCTTGGTGCAAGATGGTGGTTCAAGTACGAGCTTTCAGATCTTGATTCCTCTACTCCATTTCCAGCACATTTCGGGTATAACGTTCTAACCTTGCTTAATATTTGCTTAGATCTCTTATTGGGTTAGATGGTATGCTTTTAGCCATGGATGGGTGGTTTGTTGGGGAAGTAGAAGTCCAAAGTGTTTATTCTTTCATATCTATGATCTTCATGAGCTCTTTTGGCATAATGGTGCGGTCTTTATGGTCTTAAGGGCTTCATGCATTCATTAAGTCCTTCTTTTGGCCTCTTTTGAGCATTTGAGCCTCTCCTAGTCATGCATGAGTGTAAAGTTGGAAACTTTACGTAGTCATTTAGCTTTTAGGGCCTGATTTGCAGTTTCGGGCTATGCTTTTAGTGATTTAGTGCTTAATGATTAAGTCCTTACCTTTTAAGCCTAGGTTTGGCTTTTTAACCCATATTGCTGGTTCTTAGGGGTAAAGTTGGAAACTTTACCCTTCTTGAGGTCATTTCAGTTATAGATCTGAGTTGTGAAGCTCTTAGTTTCGATAAGGTCGGCTTAATGAATTAAGATGTTGGATTTCTGGCGAACTCGGTGAGTTTATGGGTGAACTCGGCGAGTTGGATCGGTTTCTTCCCGACTTTGCAGACTAATGGAGAAACTCGACGAGTTGGTCAACTCGGGCCGTTGACTATGACTTTGACTTTAGTCTTTGACCTATAAGGGGCTTTTGGGCATTTTGAGTGGTATTTAAGGAAATATTTTCTTTTTAGGGGTTGAGTAGAGTCGATATTTGGAGTCGGGATTTGTTCAGCTATCATTCTATATTCGAGGTGAGTTTTTCCTCACATGGTTTTAGCGGGTCTAAGGCACCAAGGCCGACCCTTGTTGATTATGTCAATATACTCGTTGTCTGTGTGATACTTGTATGTGCTTGTGTATCTATGCTTATTGGGCGGGGACTGTATTGCGAGTGTAGGCGGGGCCTGCATCTCTTTGGGTGGGGCCCGTATTGTAAGTGTGGGCGGGGCCCATATATCATTGGGCGGGGCCCGTTTTATGAGTGTGGGCGGGGCCCGTTATGTGATATGATGGAATGTGGTATCTTGGGGAAACTCATTAAACTTTGTGCTTACGGTTTTCAGTTTATGTTTCATGTACTTCCGGTTCCAAGGGAACGAGCTCGGGCTGACCACATCGCACACACCACAAAGATTCCGCGTTTTTATATTTTCTCTGATTTTGATACATTGGATACATTGTTTTGATGAGATGTACGAATGATGTTTGAAAACACTATTTTTATCTATTATAAAATGAAATTTTTAGGACCATATTTTTGGATGTTTCATAGGGTTTTTTTTTTTTTTTTTTTTTTTTTTTTTTTTTTTTTTTGTAACATACATACCACCTAATTTTTAAGGTAAATTTTGTAATGTAGAAGCTGCCTAATTCTTTAAGTAATTTAGGCAGACCAACGTATTCCTTCCATTTCACCTTTTAAACTTATTATGAATTTCTCTGGTCCGCATTCCCAAGACCAACTCCTAGTTTTTCACGTTTTCTTATATGTCTCTAAAACTCCTACAACACCAACTCCTAGTTTTTCACGTTTTCTTATATGTCTCTAAAACTCCTACAGAACAAGCATAGTAGCATTAGTAGTGACAAATATCACCGCAAAAGATCTTTAGCGGCGACATGATCGTGACTAAGTCGTTGCCGCTATTGTTTTGTACGACACACAATGCCATATCAAATCGTACTTTCCTTTAATCTTCGTATTTTTCATGATTTATTCAAATTTCCCGTAGCAACTCACAACGTTTTAGTTTTGAAAGGTCTAAGATTGTTCTAATCATTTTATCTTTGTTTAGGAAGCAGAGGGCACTTTCGTCTAGTCCTTGGGCTGAAATATGTGCCATTATTATAATAGTGTTTGTCATTGGCGTGAGATAAAGGTGCTACTAATAGTAGTATGATAAAAACCATAGTAAATACTTCAGAGTTTTTACTAAAATCCTACCTAATATTTAAGGAATATGCTCATGTGTATCGAAGGCCGCATTTTTCAGTGTTGGTATCTAAAACCTTCCCTGGATAAAGTCCTTTATCTGTAATAGTATAGCCATCTGTTGGTATTGGTCTCACAGTGTAAGTGGTATATAAATCTTTGTTAAAATTTCCATGTCATGTATAGCTTGAAGATGTACAAGCATACAATCAACGTTACATGTAGAAAAACACGCGCAACATCCATTATATAAGTGCCTCATGCATTAGTTGTTCAAGTATTACCATTAGAGAGGAAAACTAGCTAGTTATAGTGCTCTTAAGAAAAAAATAGATGGCTATAACAGGATATCAGGTGAAGTTGAAATCAAATGTCATCGTCACCTGGTCTTTGAACTCTTCAAGCACAGGCCACACGACACGACAACTCTGAGAGGATTGAAGCTTGCCATTTAGTTTCTGGTCAATAGGGTGTTCCTGGAGCTGTCATTCAGTGGGACTACTACCATGGTAAACTACTTCATCCGTGCTAATTGAATATAAAAACTTGTTATATGTTGGATCTATACCACACGAACACACACACACATCTATGCATGTAAATATGTACAAACTACTTATGGTTTTTCTGTATATGGAAAAAAGGAAACTGCTAAACACATCATTGAAGAAATTGATGATGAATTACACAAAATTGTGTTCAAAGTGATTGAAGGAGATATCTTGAAGGTGTATAATTCCATTAGTTTCATCTTTACCACCAAAGATGTGGGCGATAAGAAGTTTGTTATCTGGACTATAGAGTTCGAGAAAGCGAGCGCAAGTATACCGGATCCAACATCGTATATGGACGTGGTTTGTGGAATAGTTGGAAATATGGATTCTCATTTTCTCAAGTAACCATGATGTCGCCGATATATTAACTAAATAAATGTCGCTGACATTATCAGCTCCAACAACGACTTGCTTGGTGTTATGGTGTTAAACGGAAGTGATTGTCCAATAAATAAATGTCAGCTGGTGTATTTATAAACATTGATGCTTGTGAAGATATGTATTGGTATTGTAAATGCAAACTAGCATGGTTTTATGGTGTATTTCAATTACTTGTGTGGGAATTGTTTCATCTTTTGCTTGATTTTTGAAACTAAAACTCACTTTTGATAGTCACGTTTGGTGTTTATGTTTTTCTATAAGTTTAAGACTTCAGAATGGTTTAAGTAATGTGTAAAACTATAGAATGGTTTAAGACTTTTACGTTGGGCAATAGCCCAGGGCCCTAAAATCGTGTAGGGACAACTTTAGAAATCTGTTAGTGGAGGTTGTTTTTGAGGCCGGTTAAACTGATGGCTTAGGAAATTTAAAAAAAAAAAAAAAAAAAGTAAATTACACGAATAGTCCCTACGGTTTACGGTATTTTGCGTGTTTAGTCTCTAACTTATTTTTTTAACTAAATAAAAAAAGAGTAAATTACACGAATGGTCCCTATGGTTTGGGTTAATTTACACGAATGGTCCCTATTATTTGTTTTTGTTACGTGCAAATTACCTTAAGCTATAGGGACCATTAGTGTAATTTACTCTTAAAAAATCGTTTCCTGTATCTCGCTTATTCGTTATTGATGGGAAAAAAAGGCAAACGAGTTTTCAGTTTTCAGTTTTCAATGTTGATTCAACTTTTTCATGTTTTAATAGCGGTCCGGGTGGGCAGGTTGAGCAATGCCCAAGGCCCTAAAATTATATAGAAATCTGTTGAAGAAATCAGTTATCAGAACATCGATTCATCATCTTCATCAGGGTTTTAACTTATAATTTTCGGATCTGTATGAAATTTGTTGATCAATTAAGCCTTCATCCATAAAAAATCTTAGAAACAATCAGGTAAGAATAAGACATCGAGTTTTGATTTCCAGATTTCTTTGATTTATCTATTTTTTCATTGTCTGATTTCTTCTATTTTATCATCCGAAATCGATTTTGTTGCCCTAGAATCGATTGAGTTCGATGATTAGATCAGAGTATCAAATACAAAAGTGTTTTTTTTCTTCTGATTTCTCTTATCACGCCTAAGTTCTAGACTTTACTCTTGTGTTTCTGGTTTTAATGGTGTTTTGTTATATGTGAATTTTGACTGAATGACTGTTAATCAAAAGACCAATCAAACCGAAATATCGATCAGACCCAAAGACCAATCAAACCCAAGTTCTCGACTTTACTCTTGTGTTTTTGATTTCTCTAAGGCTTTAGACGAAGGTGTGGGCAATTAAGATAAAAACAAAGAAACAGCTTTAGACGAAGGTGGAGGTGGGAACAGGAATATAACGCCCAAAAATGGTGAAGGGGCGGTGTTTGTGCGTTATAACGTCCAAAAATGCCCATAGGGTGTTGCCCATACCCAATACTTTAAACAGTCCTAAAATGTTTTAATTTATACTTTCTAATTTTCTTTACAGTTTTCATATTATGCGAATTTTGATCGTGGAAGTTTCTATATGTAATGAGTATAGGTAATTCAATAATTGAAAAAAAAAATTGCTAAAGTATAAAAGCCTAAATATCGCATCAATGTTTTTTATATATAAAAAGTCCACATTTTTTTAATAATCTTTATATTATCATTATTTTATAAATATGAAAAGATAACAATATGTTTCCTTAAAAATATGTATCCGGAATTCCAAAAAAAAAAATAAAATAAATGGTTTAGCTATGTTATGTATCAAAAAAAAATGTAGGATAAAATTGACTTTCATTACTATTTATGATGATTTTGCTTCTAAAAAAACTCGTCAACGTAACTTTTTTAGCTTTCTTTCCTATTTTATATAATAGCATTGATTTGTATTATTAGTTTTAGGTTGTTTGGCCGAAGCTTTTTTCTTTTTCATTGGTGTGGGAGTCTTGTCCGTAACTATATTATTTTTAATTAATAATTTGTTCCGGATGTGTCACCCTGTTTTACCAATATATATATATATATATATATATATATATATATATATATATATATATATATATATATATATATAGGGTTCGGATCCGGTAGAAATCCAAAAAATTGATAGAAACTCATTTATTTTGTCGTGACGCGTTTGCACGCGGCGCACGTACATGGAACGTAATACAGACTCGAGGAAATAATCATGTGCGACGAACGTTCATGGAACATCATTTAAATAGGTTTTTTTTTCTTTTCCATTTATTTTGGTTTTTTTTTCGTTTTCTTATTATTTTTTTTGTTTTTTCGTTAAAAAAATTCAATTTTTTTTAATAGATATATGCTCGGTTTTAATGTTTTTAATTTTTTTTTTTTTTTTTTATGTTTTTTTTTTTTTTTTTTTTTTTTTTTTTTATTTGTGTTGTTTCTTTTTTTGTTTTTTTTAATATCTTTACTACACACTAGAAGATAGTAGGGATTTTTCTTTTTTCTTTTTTCTTTTTTTTTTGTTTTAATTTTTTGCTTTTTATGATTTTTAAACTAAATATCGGTTTGAGTTTTTAATGTTTAACAATTATAAAATTTTAAATAAGAAGAATATTAAGGATTATAATATTTTCCGTCCATATTTTTTTAATCATATTATTTTTGGATTATAAAATTTTATATTATAAGGATATTATGCATCATACATTTTTGGATCATATTAATTTGGATCATAATATATTGAATTAAATAAATTTTTTGTTCAATACATCATTTGGATCATTATATTTTTTGAATCATAAAAAATATAATAATTAAGGATCATTAAATATTTAAATCAAAATATTTTTAGATCATAACAAGTTAAGGATCATAAAAATATTGAATCATAAATATTTCAAATCATCTCTATTTGTATCATATTATGTTCAACATTTTTTTAAAAACTTTTAATCTTTTAAAATCAAGTTTCGTATCTAAAACACATTTTTTTTAAAATTATTTTTACAATGTCATTAGATTAGTCACTAGAAGTATTCCTTCAATTTTATAATTTTTGGAGATTTTTTTTTCTAGGTTTTTTTATAAATATAAAAAATAAAGAAAAAAATTTCAAATTTTCATGATTGTGCTCATTTTGTAGATAATTAAATTTTAAGAACTTTAGTTTTTTCAGATTTTTTTATCAAAGAGAAAAAAAAATTATGGCCGAAAAGCTAAGTGGGTGAAAAAAAACTCACCAAACAATAAGGGCTGGACAATTGTCATGCTGGGTGGGGGCACATGTCAGCTATTGGAGAGTTCACATGCCGGAATTTTCATTTTCTTTTAATATTTTTGCTTTTGTCACTTATACCCTCCAAACCATTAATTTTCCTGGAAATTATCAAAATCTTGCAATTAATTATGAAAATGTCATAATATCTCGCTAGATTTTGACGATAAATACAATCAAATTCTGGCCTTTTATTCATTCAAACTTAAGGCCAAAAATTGTCCTCACGGTTTCTACCATTTTTTGGAGTTTCTACTTGATCCTTTATATATATATATATATATATATATATATATATATATATATATATATATATCTATATATATATATATACAACCAGAGAGAGAGAGAGAGATGAGAGAGAGAGAGATGTTCAAATTAGAATAATTATAAACGCAAGATAAATCTGGGCCACATATTTCTTTTTGTCGTAAAATCTTGTAGCTTATCGGCACGACAGAGTAATGTACGTAATATTCAAATGTGAATAAGTATATGCATTTCTCAAGTGATTATATAATATATATATATATATATATATATATATATATATATATCTATATATATATAGATCTATATATATATAATATATTATATATATATATCTGTTTTGTCGTCCCGATATGTTCATCTATCACACCGGTACGTTGAAGGTTTTGCGGAAAATTGGAAATATGTGGTCAAATGGTGGTTGTGTTAGTCGCGGTGGTGGCGGTTTATATTTACGAATGAATATTAAGTTCCTCGGGCCGCTTCTGTATTCGGGAGGACTTTGCATCAAAAAAATATGTGATCGAGATTTATCTCGTGTTCTCTATTTCATAATTATTCTCATTTGCACCTTCCCCTATATATATATATATATATATATATATATATATATATATATATATGTATATAATATATATATATATATATAATATATATATATATATATAATATATATATATATATATATATATATATATATTCGAACGACCTCATTTTTTATTTTGCTTGGAGCATCAAATCATCTTGGGACGGCCTTTGATCATCATGACCTTTAAGGCGTTAAATCATTTTTTTGGTGTTTTGGTGCTCTTCAATAAATACAAAAGAGAAATCAATTATTCCCAAGTAACTAACATCTCTCCATGTGGATAAGATTTAAGACTCTCTAGGAATCAAACTCATCGAAACCGATTTAATTAATATGTAGTGTCGTCTTACCATAGAAACTTCATAAAATTGATGACGTCTTAAGTGGTTCACAGCCAAATGAGAGGGCTAGCAATCAGCCAATGAAGTAAACAATGAAAGACAGTAAATTGTCGATCATTTGAACCAATCAGACGAGTGGAAGATGAACCTTTCTGGATTGGATCATTTACCTGAAAATCAACGAATCCTTCAGATAATTTCTCACCAAAACCAAAAACTTTACAAGTAGGAAATTTTCGTATGGCGAACAAAAAGATGGATTTGATCCTGAGGATATGGAAACGAAAGGTGTAGGGTCAATATTATACAAAAAGGAGTCAATCACATGATTCATGAGGTTCATCGACATGTGTTTCCTCACTATGGTGTATTTCGGGTGCAAAGATGCACGTATTAAAAGTAAAAACATAATAATTTCTTGTTGAATATATATATATGGTCAACTTTTTTAATATTCTTAGTGTGTATATTTTACAGTTCAACATCAATCCTTCTTCAATGT